TCAAAAGGAGATCAGGTTCTACTGTAGTGTACCTGGTTATCAGAGATTAACGTGGTTCTGTTGTAGTGTTCCTGGTTATCAGAGATTTACGAGGTTCTGCTGTAGTGTACCTGGTTATCAGAAATTAACGAGGTTCTACTGTAGTGTACCTGGTCATTAAAGTATAACGAGGTTTTACTGTAGTGTACCTGGTTATCAGAAATTAACGAGGTTCTACTGTAGTGTTCCTGGTTATCAGAGATTTACGAGGTTCTACTGAAGTGTACCTGGTTATCAGAGATTTACGAGGTTCTGCTGTAGTGTACCTGGTTATCAGAAATTAACGAGGTTCTACTGTAGTGTTCCTGGTTATCAGAGATTAACGAGGTTTTACTGAAGTGTACCTGGTTATCAGAGATTAAAGGGGTTCTACTGTAGTGTACCTGGTTACCAGAGATTAACGAGGTTTTACTGAAGTGTACCTGGTTATCAGAGATTTACGAGGTTCTACTGAAGTGTACCTGGTTATCAGAGATTTACGAGGTTCTACTGAAGTGTACCTGGTTATCAGAGATTTACGAGGTTCTGCTGTAGTGTACCTGGTTATCAGAAATTAACGAGGTTCTACTGTAGTGTGCCTGGTTATCAGAGATTAACGTGGGTCTATTGTAGTGTACCTGGTTATCAGAGGTTAACGTGGTTCTATTGTAGTGTACCTGGTATCAGAGATTAACAAGGTTCTACTGTAGTGTACCTGGTCATTAAAGTATAACGAGGTCTTACTGTAGTGTACCTGGTTATCATATATTAACGTGGTTCTATTGTAGTGTACCTACAATAATCACTCGATATCAAAAGGAGTTCAGGTTCTACTGTAGTGTACCTGGTCATTAAAGTATAACGAGGTTTTACTGTAGTGTACCTGGTTACCAGAGATTAACGAGGTTTTACTGTAGTGTACCTGGTTATCATATATTAACGTGGTTCTATTGTAGTGTACCTGGCTATCAGAGATTAACGTGGTTCTACTGTAGTGTTCCTGGTTATCAGAGATTAACGAGGTTTTACTGTAGTGTACCTGGTTATCAGAGATTAACGAGGTTTTACTGAAGTGTACCTGGTTATCAGAGATTAACGAGGTTTTACTGTAGTGTACCTGGTTATCAGAGATTAACGTGGTTATATTGTAGTGTACCTGGTTATCAGAGATTAACGAGGTTCTGTTGTAGTGTACCTGGTTATCAGTGATTAACGAGGTTCTACTGTAGTGTACCTGGTATCAGAGATTAACGAGGTTCTACTGTAGCGTACCTGGTTATCAGAGATTAACGTGGTTCTATTGTAGTGTACCTGGTTATCAGAGATTAACGAGGTTCTACTGTAGCGTACCTGGTTATCAGAGATTAACGTGGTTCTACTGTAGAGTACCTGGTTATCAGAGATTAACGAGGTTCTGTTGTAGTGTACCTGGTTATCAGAGATTAACGAGGTTCTATTGTCGTGTTCCTGGTTATCAGAGAATAATTAAATCTTGCTTTTTAATCTTTTCATTGGCTTAAAAAAATATGTTATCAGCACACAACGAAAAAAAAATGACGACGCCGTTTGGAACGTCGCTTTTGATTGGCTGATACAGCAGCGTAATAAACTCTAAGAGAAAAGAGTTCATCAATAAAAGTGTATTTCCACAGGGATTGTGTATAGTAGATTAAATTATAAGGATAAACTTGAATATATTTTTCATGTTATGTAGCTATAACACACAAAAAAAACCGAGTGTACTCTCATCATATTCGCGGTGTATTTAGAGTATACTCCGTTTTTTGTGTTATATCTCCATAACATGAAAAACATATTCAAGTTTATCCTTAATTAACGAGGTTCTATTGTAGTGTACCTGGCTATCAAAGACTAACAAGGTTTTTCTGTAGTTAACCTGATTATCAGATATTAACGAGGTTTTCTGTAGTTAACCTGGTTATCAGATATTAACGAGGTTTTCTGTAGTTAACCTGGTTATCAGAGTTGTACAAGGTTTTATTTTAGTGCATCTGGAAAAGTATATCACAATATGTTAATCGGAAATACAGAGGATATCAGAGATGGTTTATATCGATTGTGATTGACGTCTTCCACAAAATAACTTATTAAAAAAAAGCAATTTTGTAGCTAACAAAATAATCTGTATTCAAGAAAAATCCTAAATATCCAAGTAATAATTTGCATTAAAGAAAATGAGTTTGTTCGTATTCGTATCCAACATAATAGGTTATCCGAGAAATAAGTCTATATTAATCCCCAAAGTATTTTTTTCAACGGATTAAGTTAATATTAAACAATGCATGCCTCTTATCCAACCTTTATGTATCGGACTCATGTGCATACATTGACTCGGTTATTGTGAACAGAAAGTCAAACAAAGGAAATATCTAATTGAGCCAAATGTAGGAACTGCAATGCATGCCTCTTATCCAACCTTTATGTATCGGACTCATGTGCATATATTTACTCGGTAATTGTGAACAGAAAGTCAAACAAAGGAAAATCTAATTGAGCCAAATGTAGGAAGTGCTGCGAGGTGACGACAATCTGCGTCGGATTTGGTGTCTGTAAAGCAATATATGACATGTGTATAGTATACAAATGTTGACGTCACTTGGTAAAGGATTTATTTGAAGTTCGTGAAATCTATTTCTATGCGCGGGTGTTTAAGCAGTGCTTGTGTGTGCTGATATTTATTTGATTCTATCATAATGATACCCAGTATTAGTCCGAATTATTCTGACGTTTTATCGACTTTTTCATATCGATCTGTTATCGATTAACCGACGACAGACCGATATGAAAAAAAGTCGATAAAACGTCAGAATAATTCGGACTACCAGTATGCATGCACAACCGATGAACTGTATAGCTTAAAGCAGGGAATGGCCTTGGTTTATCCCCGCTATTGTTAGGATTTCTCTGATCGGAGTAAAATAAAGGTAGGTGTAAAGCGTGAAGTTAAAATGCAGGCGTGGTGTCGTTAAGGATGGTGACGTCATGCTGCGGAATGCCGATTCGCGTCGTAAAATTATTCTTAAGATTGACGAGGTAAACGACTTGCTATTGACCACCTCCATTAAAACATCCTACCACAACTATTTTTTTCTTTTTAATATCTGTATCACATCCACAACCACGATATGCAGTATTAAAGTCAAATTCGATTATTTTTTTCTATTTCGCACACAGAAGTTAGGTTGTCATGAAAATAGACTAAACGACAGAAATAAACCTTGTTTATTGTACATAAATGTACGTCAGCAACATAAAGACTGCCCGATTTAGATTTTAAATCCTAGTGAAATTTAAACGAAATTTATTTTAATTATTGAAAGTAAATTGTGTGCAAGAACTTTTCAATTTCGAGAGCAATAAAAACGTGAATTGGATTAAACCTTTTTGGCTCGTTACCGAAAATTAACCAGAACTCTAACTGACAAGGTTTACGTAAGAGAATGTCAGATGTACGCGTTGATTACTCTGCAAATGGGCCCGCGTACGTAAACGGGACTGTTGGTCGTAAACGGGACTGTTGGTCGTAAACAGTAAATCATACCGCACTTTATAGAGCTCGCATCTGTGCTGCAGGTCAATACACGCTGTGACAACCAACACGATGTTGGTAACTTATGGGTTAGTTTGATATTAAAATTCTGCCAAGAAGATTATAACGTTTATACCGCTATTTAACACCTATACCTCAAAATGTCAATGCCTCAACGATACCCCAGACTAAAAACGAATTTTCGATTTTGTCCAAAGTGCGTTCATAAGATTTCCGTTGATGTGCCAATCATCATCAACTATTAACGCAAATATTCTTCTGTATTTGTTTTTGTAGTATAGGTTTGAAAAGGACAGTTCTAATTGTGTTTGTTGAATTTGAATGTCAAACTAGCCCAACATTCGGCAGCTTAATACTGAATATGTAACCAACTTCACGCTGGTACAACGTCATATCGACGCAACTCCTACTGACATGCCACAACGACGTACAGACAAAACTGAGGGAACTGCATCTTTCCATATAGTTTCCTAACGTATATCGCAAACGCTAGACGATTAACAATAATATTTAGATTACATTATTTTTACAAAACTGATGTGTTGTAAGAAACCAATTCTTTTTCAAGCATGAGATCATCGTAGAGTAGATAAACGTTTGGTTTAATGAGATTATACAAGAGCATGTGAAATCAAGGATAATCCTATAACTACTGTCTAGAGTGACTAAGCAACCTCAGAGTGAATGTCATGTAGATGGTGTGAGTAATCCTTGAACACATCGCGCTTTATGCTATAGAATTTGATTTATTCAAAATCAATAGGTGTATATAACTTGTATTTATTTTACAGTGATTATTTCACAACTATGAAACAAGTACTGTTGGCCCGGATGTTAGCGCGCGGGGATCTTAATGTGGGAGGGAACATGAGTACCCAGAGAAAACCCACGTGGTCGGGCAGGTGACCTCCATACCTGTCCACGTCCGATCGGGGAATCGAACGCCGGTCGCCCTGCAGGTGAAAGGCTAGTGCGCTTTCTACTACACCACCCAACCACCCATTCGATACTAGTTATTTGAATTCAAAATATCGTGATTTGTAAGCGTAATCTTGTGATTCTGTATATGCGAATGCGACATGCTCTGTAACGGAGATGTAATTCAGATCCTTCACACAAACATACAGAAAGTTCCAGGTAACAGAAGTCGAGGCTAACAAGCTGAATAGTTCTAATGTAACATTCTAAACTTAAAATGGTTGACGTCACGTTAAGGTAAACTTACTTTTAAACGCCGATAGTTCAAACGGTTCTAGACTCCAAACAATTACCGTGAGAAATTTTAAGTCGTTAAATTGAAATTACGGGGAGAACACCAATTATTTCAAGTTCGGCATGTTGTGACGTCATTTTTGCACGGTAAATAAGATGATGATACCGTTGTGTTCGGTACATCATTAAATTGACTTACCGTCAGTGTCAGCGTAGTTGTTAATCCATTTATGTGTTCACTTCAAACTATCTGCCAACTGGATCCGTGTTTAACCACATTCAAACCCAATACACTACAGACTAGAGCGGGGAGGAATCAAATTAACGTCAGAACCATATCGATGTAAATAGTGTTCCTAATAAATCGATGTAAAACTTATATATGTTAGGTCATTTGTAACACCTGTCAAAAAATAATGTTTAAATGTGGTTTTCCATAAAAAGGCCAGTCATGCATGACAAATGAACATATTATCTAGCGTGCGACGATAGGTGTATACCCGGGTCGGTGTTAGGTAGGTACCTTTTAACATAGTGATACGTAAATAACGTCTTTTAGATCTTGGTCAACTTACAGGTACCGGAAATATCACCAAAAACAGGTATATTTGTATGATAATGAATGAGTATGTGTGACTATATGTAAGTTTAGTTTATGTCGTGTATATATACTGTATTGAATATTAATGAAAATTTGAAAATAGAAAAAAAATCGAGCGAGCGAGCGAGAGAGCGAGACGGTGGTATAAATTCTAAAAACAAAATCTTAAATCTTATGTTTGCGTATGAATCCACTACCGACAGAAGCTAACCAGTGCGGCGGTGGACACGGGTAATTTGTACAGGTAAACATAAATACACAAACATCTAAGTCTTTTTCAATAACTGTTCAATAATTCTAGTTCATGCAGATTGTTCACTGACCTGGTCTATTAATTATAGTCGTAAAATTGGCAGGTTCCCTTTCTCACCAAATTCTTTTTGGAAAACGTCGTTTTGCTTTGATCGCAAACACTATGTGATTATAGATGAGCCCATACATCTGATTGATATATATAACCAAGAAGTTGTTCGAGGATAAAGAACGGCGCTACCTTAGCTAGGTAAGATCTTGGTACCGTACACTCCGCACAAAAGATAAAAACGAGAGAAGAGTGGATAAAAGGTGTTATGAAAAACATACACAAAACACGAAGAATAAAAAGGCGAAAGTTTGAAAGACTTTTATAATATCAATATATACTTATAATTATTGTAATCTCAAGTGCATATGCCTCATTATAACAGACTTAGTCGCTATACATTAACATCTACTGAAAAGTTCTGTGACGTACGTATGTAAATGTAAATGATCCCATCATCGTCAGTCACTCCCACGAACAGGATTACAGCATACACACGTGACCAAAAACAAACGGCTTTATATAAACGACATTCAGGATTCTCCTGGCTGAATACCACTATGGATATCTAATTAAAAAAACATGAACCTGGTCGTATTCATGATTCCCTGCTCAAATCAACTTTCTTCCTAACTCGCTTAAGGTTCAACAAGCCTCCTAAAAGATGTAATAGTCAGCCTAAATTTCAACACCCTGGCAAGTCATATTCAAATACCCTTATCAAAAATCGGAATATATATATGTAATTTAAATAAAATGAACTTGTACTTGAGCTATTAAATAGGTACATAACCAGGTTAACGAAGTCTAGATACGGCATTAAGGCTGATGTAATTATAAAAGTTGCTCCCCAGATTAATAACATGTCAATCTCTTAAGCGACCCAACTAAATGTTACGAAATGACATGTTATTTGAAGATCATTTATATACCTAGGTCATGCGGGGCTTTGTTTCTCTTTAATTATGTGTGGAGAGGTATACCGGCCTCACAAGAAGATGATTGTTGCTATATGGGAAAGTACAAAAGTCATAGTAAAAAGTCCGCGTTACATATTTCACCGGTATATATGTGTAAAATCATAGACCTTTGACCATAAACACTACTTAAACTTCATATAAAATGTCCATTCTTATCATTCAATGTTTTTATAAAAGAGCTAGACTTCTGATAAACACTTTTTATTGTACTTTTCAGCTTCAGTGTTTATAACATGTCTAGAGCATTCATATATCATCTAAAGTTCATTTATCGATTAACGTTACTTAAAGGCTTTGTTTTCTTATTTATTTATTGCTAAAATGTATTATCAGGGGATTTTACTATGATTTTAGTGGTTTCGTATGGCAACATCTATCTTTATTGAGGTCGGAATTCCTCTCAACAGCTAGTAGAAGGGGATTACAGCTCCGTATGACCTCAGTATATAATAAACTTTGAATTATAGGTCATTTCTCAGCAATCAGTTGGATCGCAAGAGATTGACATGTTATAAGTCCAGTGAGCTATTTCTATGAAGACATCAGCCTTAATGCCTTATTTTTGACTACGTTGACCTGGCTATGTATTTTTTGTATAGCCAATGTACAAGTTCAATATTTACAAATAACATGTTATATATAAGTTCCGATTTTTAAATGAGGTCTTTGAACAGGACTTATCAGGGGGTTGAAATTTTACTACAACATCTTTTAGAAGCTTGTTGAACCGTAAACATGGGTGGTCGGGTAGTGCAGTGGATAGCGTACTAGCCTTTCACCAAGGCGGCCGGGGTTCGATTTCCCGATCGGGTGGCTAAGGTCTACCGTTACGTTATTATCTATAATAATCAGGCTGGTCTCCATGTATATCCTACAGGGGGAAACCCAGGAATTAATTTTGGGTGTTGCCCAAATTTTTTAACTCGGAAAAAGACAGATTTTTGCCCTTATCTAGAACTTATAAATAAGTATTGTCATGTCAGTTCTACATGTATTTTTCTTTCTGCTACCAAAAAAGTTATAGAACTTCCCTTTTCTTCCCTTTTCTGAGATTTGGACCTACCCTTTTACACAACATAACGTTACGACCACAGGGACCTAAGCAGCTGTTACAGCTATATTTGGTGTTCAGTGTATTTTTTAGGGATTTAATATCCAACAACTTTCGTTAAAAAAGCCACCACACTGATGGAAGTTGATATCAACCCATAAAACGTCTAAAATTACTAAGAATACCAAATATAGCTGTAACAATTTTTACGATCCCTTCGGATACGAGGTGCATGCATGATGTTCCTGTACAGATCATCAAAACTAAAACCGCAAACTTTTAGTTTTCATTAATCTCCTTTATTTCAAAAATATAAATCACACACAAATTCAATCTGAAATACAATCACGACGTCAACAGGTATGAAACATGTACCCATATCTAATGTCGATATAAACATGAACATGAGTGACAAGTTTAAAGTTTTCATCACTAAAACAACTGTAAACATTACAATACATAATGCAGTTATACATGCAATTTTCCGTTCAAAGTTGAGTTTACATATGCAACGTAATTCTAATAATGACAGTCTCCCACAGGTATTTTCGCACCCCTTGAATTAGTCAAAAAGTCGATAAAACGTCAGAATAATTCGGACTACCCTGGAATATGTCATAACAAAATCAAAGGTTAAGTGTGCGTCATTTTGTCATTTAATATACATCAAAAGAATATGTCGGTCGCGCAACGGTAACCTGACTGTTTCTGAAGTCTGCAGGTGTCTTCGAAGGACAAGTATCAGCCTAGCGATTGGTCAGGTGTTTTACCCGAGACCAATCAAAAAGCTAGTCGCGTGTACTCCAGGGGTTCCGTATACGCTCACTTTCGCTCTCTGCCCTCCTGGAATAAGTGCCAGACGAGGCTAGTGCATTGTTGCATAAAAACATCGTTAATTAACAGTAACATTCAAATTAAAACATAAACAAGAGAATAATTCAGTATGGCGTCCGTCACTAACAGCACGGAATTAGATTGCTATCTTAAGTCCGTGTTATAACTGTCAGCATATTAACAGTAAATGGCTCCATTATGACAGAAACGTCTCTGATTATGATAATAATGTAATGGTTAGCGTCCCTGGTGTCATATGAACATAGTCCTGGAAATCTCCCAGCTGGGACCAGATCCATATACTCTAGTATTTGTATCCGACAAACTCTAATCCCCACACACTCTGCTGACTGTTCCTCGTTCCAAAATTACTGACCCTTGCAGACACCATATACAACCTAATATAATCTATTTCCTTGTCACACCTATAAAACCAGCATTTCCTTTTCTAGACCGAGTTTCCTCTGGCCCTGATATACCTGTCTCGTCTAAGTCTGGTGTCAGGGCCAGAGGAAACTCGGGCTAGTCCTTTTGTTCCTCTGAGAAAGTAAAGTTGGTCTGCAAATAAATTACTTAATTTGTGATAGAACAGAAAACATTCAACAAGCTACAACTTGGTTCAAACACAGGGACTAGAGAATGTGTTACAGCTATAGTAAGACTTAACCTAAATTACACGTTTTAGCAGTTTAGATCAACTTTCATTATGGTGGAAGGGTTGACGTTTTTTTACCGAAAGTTTATATGAACTCATAAAACGTGTAAATTACTCTTTGGTTTTGGCAGAGACGTATATATTACGTAATGTACACGTCTCTAGTTTTGGCCAAGATTTCTTACATTTTGTAAAAATAAGCGAAACCTGTAAAATACTTAAATTAATACCGAATCATTCATCAACGCGCGTTCAGAACGGTCCCGTTACCTAGATATAGGCAATCAAAGGTGACTGCTTCTCACTGGCGATCTCGAAGATTTAATGAGCTAACAGGTCACAAGGTAACTACATGTATAGCTGTTTGGGTCCAAATACAGCTGTCACAAATTCTCAAGTCTGTGTGGATTCAAACACACAAACAACGCTTATAAAACAATGATATATAATCAACAATTCACACATAAAACGTTTTTGAGATCAGAGCTACAATAAAATCGGGTTAGAATTGTATGGTTCCACCTTGTCCACCCTTGTTTGTTTATACCAGATCTGTTCATGTGGTACACGTTATTGTCACGACAGCTGTCGTCTACATATAGTTTTTGTTTTCTCTGGTGGAAAAGAGCTTCCGACATCTGATAAATGATATCTCTGTATAGGTGTTATGACTAAATAACAAGCGAGGCAATAAACTGGATTTCTATTTGCATCAATATTGTATGGTGTTAATTAACTGCCACATAGAGGTACATATTGTATATGGCGTTCCTACTATTTTTGTACAAGTCCATAAGAGTTACCTCCCTTTGGTACATGTATCTCTTCACTACAACTACTGGTGTGGGCATCAGATACTTTGACAGTGATTAAGAATCTATAGAAAACCGGAGGCCTTAAAATGTCGGCAACTTAATGTGTGTGAAAAGCAATGAAGAGAGTGTTTTATGCTTTGCTTACAGACCATCTAAAGAAGTTATTTGTGCAGAAAAATGGACCAGTTACACAATCTGAATCAAAAGATCTGCTAGCCCGAGTTTCCTCTTGCCCTAACACCAGACTTAAGACATTTGGACGTATAGATGTCTGGTGTGGGGGGCCAGACATATATCTGTCAAAATGTCTAAGTTTCCGACACAAGACATCTATATATGTCAAAATGTCTAAGTCTGGTGTTTGGGCCAGAGGAAACTCTGTTTAAAAGATCTGCATTAAAAAGAATGTAATATATATATACCACAGAAAGTGAGGATAACTTAATCACAGGAAGGGCATGCATGGCATGTTGGCTTATATACTGAAAAAGTCTCCAAGCTGCTTATAATTACAGAATTTGAAAACATACTTGTGCTTTTTTTTCATTAGAATAATATTCAATGTGGGGAAGAATGTAACCTCTAATTATAATAATTCAATACATGGCAAAATGGCAGAAAAAAGCTGTACCTCAAAGCACATTTTAAGGTGAACTGACGATTTCCTTTCTTTCATATAATGATACATAGCCACGAATGCTTGTAAAATCCATACAATTCTGGATACTGAAACCAGTCCCATTCAAACCAAATCACTTTCCACAATGGAAAAGGCTATGCATCATTAATTTTTTAGGAAGGAGTTTTTTCAGACATTTTTCCGTGTACTGAATCATTACAAGTCATGTGATTTCCCACACATTGAATATTGGCAAAACAGAGTTACACATTAACATTGTCAACCATCACACAACTCAAAATCTAATTAGTTCCCGACTTCAAAACAAAAATCTAGCTACAATTTCCTTTAAAATTATATCATCAATCAAGTGATATTTTAAACACTAATATTGGACCATGGGAAAGAAAAGCTATAATTTCACAATTTGCCTACACAACATGTTCAACAAACCACTAAGTGTATAGAACTTTATGGTCCTTTTCTAGATTTACATTAGCTTTAAAATAACCTTGTTTTACAATACAATGATCTGAAATAGATTTCAATGACATAAGTAATACATCAATATCATGTATTCTATACACTTCATAATGTTATGATCATCAATCAATCAATAAGTTAGACAAAAAAATAATTAAATGTGTGTTTCAAGTAATTTGCCTGAAAAATAGGGTGGTCAGTTGTCAAATAATTCTATTTTTTTTCTTTTTCCCCCGGATCAGAATTATACTTTATATAACATTTTACAATTAATTTCCATACATTGCATTGGCTATTAATTTGTCAAAAACAGAGGCAGGCTCCCAGAACAGGAAGAAAGTATATTTTAATGACAGGCTGTGAGCTTTGCCTGACTAACAAAGTCATCTTAGATAAGTAAAAAGTAGGAGATAAAATTTCTAGAGTTGGCAGGATAAAAAAGGTTAGGTTGGGATACCTGAAACACTCATATATTTGATTTTGGCCTATACACATGTATTTACTTGCACAAAACAAACTAGCAAAGCTAATATCTTTTCAGTTACCATTTTCATATAATGGACTGAAAAAGCTTATTTGCATTTAAAAAAGAAATCAGCAAAATGAGAATTTTTATGAGCATATATAGCATTGAATTTGAACATACCTGTACACTATTTGATGACAGAAGCTCTTATTTTGTTTGCACTTTTGATTGTAGTTCAGGCGGTAGAGGGGTACGTATATCATTACCTGGAAATAACTGTAATTCCAATAAGCATTATATAACAGACTTTTATAAAGATGACATACTAGACTAGAGAAAATGTTTGCATTGGTAAATGTTATGGCCCACAGGAATGCACACTGCCTGTCACAGTATAAGCAAGCAAACCCTCTGAATCCTGTTATACAAATTATCGTTTAAAAGTAAAAAGAAAAGGATGTTGAATAAATTTTAAACATTTATTTGACAGTTTTGCTGTGTATCCCTATAAACAATACTGTATCAGTAGACTGGCTTGTATACACTTGTTTATTAAGGGCAGAATTAGTTGTTATGCTAAGGCCAAATATAATGTTGTTTGTTTCTAGTAATCCTACCTTCCCTGATTAATTTGTGCTTACTCTTATAACTAACTGTTAGTTGGCAATTATCATGGAAGTGCTGTCAAAGTTAAGATCACTATCTTATATATATATACAAATACACTTTATAAAACTGAAAAATAACTTCTTTTACCTACCTACATATCCTTAATTTTTCAGACATGTACATGTAGGCCTAACAGGAAACAAACATATGGTTAATATAACAAGAGGCCCATGGGCCTTAACGGTCACCTGATATATTTATACAGAGAGTTGATTTTGTTTTTAACATGAACAGAAATATTATTCAAAATGACAAAAAACAATAAAACCACCTTACTCAATATCTAGCATACAGATTTCAGACTAAAAAGGATTTGAAACTAGCACCTCTGATTCTTAACAAGGAAAATGAAGAAATTTTAGCACACTGACTCCTTTGAGCCCCACCCTACAGCCCTTGGGGGTAGGGCTGGCTCAAAATTTTCAAAGTATCAAACTGTCAATTCAAGGTTATAATTCCAATCAAGTTATTAACATGTAAT